GAGCTTTGTTGCTGTCTTGAGGTCGATAAAACCGGCTGCGATTGACAAGCAGTCACAGTGACCAGACCAGGCGCACCGTTAGAACTGCTCAAAGTCGCTCAATCCCAAGGATAAGGAAAGTGCGACTCGTGCTCTACAACAGGCGTGTCAACAAGAAGAGACAATAATCTTTACAAACCTATTACGCATAGCAGTCGGCCAAGGTATGCGAGGATTGCGGAGCACGTGGTGTTACTCATGTGTTTCAGTGTGTGTTGGGCTTGTGCGGAAACGATGGGGTCAGACCCATAGCAGGTATTGAAAGACGATTTGAGCTGAGACAGTAAAGAGGTTCAATTGCACTTCTCTCACAGGAGAGAACGATAGAAAACAGAAAGGGAAATATCCAAAAGAAAATGCCACTCACGGTCAGCGGGACCGTACTTATAATCTGGTGGCTAAACACACCCAGAGTGTACGAGAGGGTTCCTCGACGGGCGGCGGCAGCTGCACATCGTCGAGTACATTGATGCAATCCTTCCAGAGGGATCTGGCAGGTGGTCGATGCTTGCACTCCAATAGCAGGTGCTGCTGAAGGGAAGCAAAAGCAGTGAGAGTGTCCAACTCCAGAGGTGATCGGATTTGACGCTAACACACGCTATTTCGGTGGATAGACTGTTTTGCTTCAGATGTCAAGCAAAGCCCGCTCTGCTCGTTTGACTTCATTTCTGTTTGCATAGCGATCGACAAGCCAACCACGAGCGTCACAAATTTCAATTTGTACGTGCAGCTTGAGCGGCGGCCGTTAGAGCAGCCACGCGGTCACCAAGGGTTTGTAGATCTTGGATATTGAACAATTGAGGATCCACGCGCCAGCCGACGCTACAAAGAACAACAGCAGCGCACCGCCAGCGTCTGGCCTGCTCCCCATGAATCAAGCCTTGAACTGGCGCCACGTTGAAATTCAATGAGAACAAGACGATATAGACAATCACATTGGCTACAGGTTCGCACCATTGGAATCCGAAGTTTGATAGGAGCAAGGAGTACGGGTTGCACGCAATAGCTCTTCAATCAGCTATGAAGTAGAGCAGATTTATCGGTAAGCAAGCTTACCTCTGCAATCAGTACCGAAAATAAACAAAGGCCCACCTCCAGCTCGTTGGGAGCCCAGCTAACGAGCAGATCCAAGGGCCGTGCTCCCGTCTGCCACAGCAGGACATTTGGTATCAATTGCAGGTGCAGCAGAACAGCTCAAAAATACGGCATCGTGCTTACATGATCTCTCGTATCCGGGTCGGCACCGTGCCGCAGGAGTTGATGGATACTCTTTTGGCTGGCAGACAAGACAATGCAGGCTACATGAAGAGGCGTTCGGCCGTTCTATATTATTATAAACATTGGGCAACATGAGAGATGAGTTCTTCCCGAACGGAAGATAAAGCAGGAAACAAGATGAAATGCAGGGAGCACCGACGAAGAGTGGACAAAAACGGGACAAAAGAGGGATAGCGGAAAGTTCTGTACTGACCTTGTCCTTGGCTTCAGTATCAACACCGTGCTTCATCAGCAACCCCGCCACCTCGGTATCGCCCTCAATGCACGCCCAGTGCAGTGGTGTATAGCCATGCTGTGGAACGATTCATCGGCATTACGTACACGTACGGCATCATCAGCATCATGATGTACAAGATAGAGGGGTAACAGAGGTAGTAGGAGGTTTGTTTGACCGAACTGACCTTGTCCTTGGCTTCAGTATCAACACCGTGCTTCAACAACAGCTCCATCATCTTGGTATCGCCCTCAATGCACGCCCAGTGCAGTGGTGTATAGCCATGCTGTGGAACGATTCATCGGCATTACGTACACGCACGGCATCATCAGCATCATCATGTACAAGATAGAGGGGTAACAGAGGTAGTAGGAGGTATCGAACTGACCTCTCCATCACCACTCATCGTAACTGTCTCTCCCTCTCTCTCTCTCTCTCTCTCTCTCTCTCTCTCTCTCTCTTTCAACATCCGCTTTTTGTTTCTGCGTGTACTTTATCCATCAACGATCTCATGAGCCTCCAACTCGCCTGACCATCCCAATAATGTCGTTCAAACCGGCAGCCGGTCAGCGTAGCCTTGCTTCTCCCTACCTTTCTGCGCCAAGCAACTCACCT